TGTAAAATCCCCATGGCACTCAAAGTAAAGGCTGAAGTTGTCGATGTGGCCTGCCATGCCCAACACAATCTGACACCTCCCTTCTCTGCCCACAGCCTATGATTCGCCTTTGCTCACTCTGCCCCAGCCACTCTGGCCTCCAGGCTCTTCCTTGACACATGGCACGTGCCTTCGGGCCTCTGCTTCAGCTGTTCCCTCCAGCTGGACACTCTTGTGCAGACATCCACCAGCTAACTCCCTCACCTCCTTCAAGTCTGCTTAAATCTCATGTTCCCAACAAGACCTACCTGAATCCCCTTCCCCAAGGCCAGTGGTCCTGAACTTCCCCCATTGACCCCCCGCTCTACTTTTTCTTCCTTCCATAGCCTTTATCACATAATATAGTATGTACTCACTAAAATATACCCAATGAGGGCAGGGGTCTTGGGTGGTTTATTCATCTTGAGTTCCTCGAACAGTGCCTGGCTCATAGTAGGCCATCAAAGATGAGTATTTGCTGAAGGAACAAAAAGAATGACATCAGCCTCAAAGAGCAGAGCTTGGCTTGTAAAAGGCAAGGGGGGATGGAGAGAGAGGACACTGACCCCCACCTCCTGCCCCTGATATAAATGGAACATAGGAGGAAAAGACACCTCCATTTTGGAGACTTCAGGGGAAGTCTAAGTAACCTAAGGGGGCAGAAAGTAGATGAAGAATTCAGTGAAGAGGTTAAGGATATGGGAAGAAGTGTTAACCACAGAATTGGGCTTGAAAATGGTTAGGTATTAAGTTCGGGAGGCACACAGAAGTTGGAGGCTGAATCAAAGGACAAGTAGTCCGGAGCAATTTGCAGAGGAAAATTAAAAAGAGGAGCAATAGGCCAAATGATTTATTTACATTTTAGGTGGAGACAAGACGAAAGATATAGTGATATAAGGCCTGGTATGTTTAGCTGGTATCAAAAGAATTAGTCCCAGCAACGGGTGGCAGACAAAAGGATTTCTCCCATCCCACTATGATTTGAGTGACAAGAGGAGTTGGTGGATAAAGCATACATCACATTTGGTCTTTTCTACCTGATCACCACAGAAGCCACTTAGAGGTGTTGGGTGAACCTAGATGCAAGGCTATCCTATTGGTGGCACCATGCTTGGCCCACAGAGAACAATTTCCCTCTGCATAATAACCCTGCACTATAGGCGGCTCATCAAATCTTCATTCCCCTTGCCGTGAGACCCAGTCATCCAGGACATAACCCCAATGCCCAACAAGGCAAGATAAGTGGCTTCTTTTCAAAGACAGACCTTAGCACTCAACTTTCTTACCTGATTTCCAGCAACCCCCATGCTGCCTAGTCAAGAGAAAGTCAGGCAAAGGGAAGGCTTCCTTCCACTGGTTCTGACTCACCTCTGTGGCTTGCTAGTTTCTCCAGAAATTCCTCCAGAGTTAAGAGAACATATGTGCATGCCAAGATTCAAGGAAAATGTTACTCCCAGTCAGAAAGAAACTGCAGTGCTTAGCCTCTAAGGAAAAGTGGCTTAGTATAAATCAGGCCCTTGAGAATAGTGCCGTTTAGATGCTCCGCATAGCTGTTTGGAGACTTATTAAACATTCAATTCAATAATTAATAATTATGGCTTCAAGACTGTCTCTCTCACAAAACTGACCCTGTAAAGGAAGCCATCAGTAATTAGACTTGGGTGTGACTTCCTGCCCAGTAACCAGATCTTGGTAGTAAGGGCATTTGTCCTCCAAGTAGTTATTAGTAAAATGCCCATACTTTTTTTTTTTTTTTTTTTTTTTTTTTTTTTTTTTTTTTCGGTTCCCGCAACGGGACCAACCCCCCCGGTTCCCCCCCCCCCCCACCCGGGGGCCG